TTATTAAGGAGTATTATTCGTCATATATAAGAACTAATCTCCTTCAAAAATTTGAAAAATATTAAATCAATAGATATCTCCTCCAAACTTAAATTTTATATATACAATAATTTAAACATATATATTATATAAAATTGTAAAATGGTAGTGGGGACAAGTGCTCCCACAATGTTGCACCTAGATCCGTCTCTGATGGAATAGCAGTGAAATAATGGGGTAATTTATTATAATTTTGATAGATAAAAAATATACATTTTGATCGTAAAAAATGTAAGTTCTTATATTTATTTGATTATCATTTACAAATTTATGGATTGATTAGCTATATATATATTTTCGTGTTATTTGTAATTGATTATTTTCAAGTTTCCTAAAAATTTATTAATTATTTAAAGACTTTTTTAATTTAGAGAAATATTCCTTAACTAAAACAATGGAAATTGGTTGAATGTTTGTGTAAATATAAAATTATATATAATATTAATTAATATTTTTTTATTTTAAAAAATATATAAAAACATATGTTTATAAAAAAATTGACATTACATTTATTATAATAATATAAAAATTACAAGTTATAAATTTAATATTTAATTTTTTTTGTTATATAAATGTAAAATTTCCGTCTTTATTTTTCTCAAATGCAATTAAGAAAGGAATACCAGTAATATAGTAATAAAAAAATGTAGAACATAAGCAAATGTTTATAGAAAATATATATATGTGAAAAAAATGTTTATAAGAAATAGGAAACAAATAATAGGAGTGAGCATGTTTCATTAATTCAACATGTTCCAAAGTTAATTTTAGACGGGCTTAAACTTTAATGTTAGATTCGGTATATTTTTTAGGACAGATTTAAACTAGTTATATATAAGATTGTTCAACTCATTTTAATATACAACATTTTTTTAATATATATATAATTATAATTATAATTATTATCAATAATAATAATTAAAAATAATTATTAATACTTTTCATAATATTATATTATATTTAAAATAAAATTATTTATTTTAAAATATATATTATAAACTATAATTTAAATTATATATTTTTATAATTTAATTATGTATAATGTTAAAGTTAACATAATGTATAATAAAATCTATCACCTAATTTTATCCATTATAGTTTAAAATCTTAGTATAATCAAATTTAAATTTAAAAAATGACATGATTAAAAATTTAAGTCGAGTTAAACCCAACTCAACTCATGATTTTAGTATAATCAAATTTAAATTTTAAAAAATGACATGATAAAAAAATCAAGTCGAGTTAGGGTAACCCAACTTGACTCATGCCCAGTGTGTCCCAATTCTTCATTCCGAGGTCTTTGTTCCTGACGTGGGACCTCTAATTGGCAATTAGTACATTTTTAGTATTGTCTAAAGGATAGGACACCGAATTTCAACGCTCACATGTTCCTATTTTCGGCACCTATAGTTACCACTTACCGATCAATATTAATTTTATATTGACTTTAAAAAAGAAAGCATTAATTTTATATTACTTTGCAGGGTTTACTTAACTAATACTCATTGAGCATAATCCACCGCCAACACAAAACACAGACACTTGTGTTAGTTATACTAACATCAACGTTGCTTGTTTCTTTAACGCATGACACGATTTAGAATCTGGACGGCAAAAGCAAGCCTTTTATAACTTTTAATCTTACTCATGATTTTAGAGCTTTTCGTAAATTTCAATTTTTGTTTAATGCATGGATGACACATATACATGTAATATTTTGCTTAATTTTTCACCTTTTTATATAGTATGCGGCCCATTTTATCTTTTAAACATAGGGCACATTGGGTAGGACCTATCTTTAAAAATTGACTGTTTCAATCTTCCGCCCCCAGCTTGACTTAGTTGTATAATAAAGAACCCTTTCTATTTCCCGAAAGAGGAAGAAATTGAAAGAAAAAGATAAACCACCCACTGTAATATATAATACTACTAGCCTCGATAAGGCCCAAGGTTTAATTGACGTTATTCACAATCCTTTTTTCTCCCTTTTTCACTGTCCTTATTCCATTTAATTTTTATGTCATCAATCATCTCAATGTTGCTTTAAATTTTGGCCGGCTACACCACTAGCTAAGGTTAATTAACCCAACAATGGAAAGGAGCAAAATACAAGTGCTTTATGATGCTACTCATGCCTTGTTTTCTCAGGAGGGGCTTCCAACTTTTCAACAAATCCATAATCTGAAAAAATTGCTAGGTGTGTTGACGATATTTTCTATATATATACATATATCGTTAATATTATATATCCTCATTCATGTGCACACATGTTAATTTGTTTGTCTTTATCGTTATTCTCTTAATCCTAATTAACCACTATAGTTATTAGATTCATGTGTTGGAATTCAATTAATTTGCAGATAAGATTGAAGCCATAGACGTAGGAATCGATGAGTGGGGGTTGTGTGATTCTCCGATATCAGACGCAAGCGATGATAGCAGCAAGGAATTGCTTTGTGGACAAGGCTTCTCTGAGATAACATACATTCACATTCATGAATGTGACGATTTCTCTGTGAGTACCATATTTAAGGTATTTGTTTTGTTTAGCAATAAATTGAAGAACTAAAGTAAAAAATTTTAGGAACATGCAGATGGGCGTGTTTTGTCTTCCAGCAGGAAAAGTATTTCCCCTTCATGATCACCCGGAAATGACAGTGTTGAGTAAGCTCTTATATGGCTCTGCCTATGTCAAAGCTTATGACTGGATCGCATTGGATTCTACTGGGTGCCAAACAAGTAAGAACAATGTGCTTTACATCTCAATTTCCAGGTGTATATATTTTTCAAATTTAATTATGCTTTTAGCTAATTACTACTTCTCTTTTTGTATATAAGAAATAATTAACACCTAATTTATCGGGGATCAACAAAAGTAATTAGTTTTAATTAATAATGTCAAAAGTTTATTTTAAATATACCCACAAAATTAAGTGTGATGTTATAGTGATAATTATATATAATCACATTATTCATAAATCAAAAAATAATTTTTTTAACTATTAAACATGACCTATAATATTATTAATCCAATAAATACATCCACGTTCACAAAAATTGAGTGAATGATGACTTGTTAATTGGTCTATAATAAATTAAGAGTATAACTAAATATTATCATTCAATGACTTATATTTCTTATAAATAAGGTCAAAATAACATATTAAAATAGTATTTTAGGACCATAACATGTATCTAAGCATATTATACCAATACCTATTGTAAAATAACATGTATAGTATCATATTTAGATACATATCAGGTCATTGACACAAATAATTTATTGACTAAAAATAAATATTTATCATATTTATTTAAGTATTATTAAATATTATAGTTTTAAGTTATTATTTTATTAAATTTAATCATCCATTTGTCTTTATGATAAATTTGATAATTTTTATAATATATGAATGATAATATTTAAATATTAGTTGAGAATGTAAGATGGTTAAAGTGGTATATTAAGAGTTTGTGTTTGAATATGGATATGTGAGTGTAGTAGGATTGGGTGGGAAGGTAGTGGATGAAGTAATGAAAGCACCACATGAACCATCCGTATTATTTCCAAGAAGTGGTGGCAATATTCATTCTTTCACAGCGTTGACGCCATGTGCAATACTTGACGTGCTCTCTCCACCATACTCTGAAGACTTTGGAAGGCCTTCCACTTACTATTCAGATATCCCTATCCCTTCTCTTAATGGTAATCTTATTTTCCATCTTCTAATTCTCTTCATTCATTTTTCTTTATACTTTATTAATTCTTATTGTTTTCTGCATTTGCTACGTACTCCTACAGGTTATGCCATACTTGAAGAGAAACCGATGCCTACTGACCTAATTGTTCAAGGAGCACCATACCTTGGACCTTCCATTGTAACCGTCCACGATTACAATAACTTCGCTCAAATGGCTTTTCATAACTATGTATAAATTTTCTGTCTGTATACATTTTCTTATATGTAAATATAAATATATTTATATTAGTCAATCGTTTGAAAGGTTACGGTCACGGTGACACTTAAGTATATGACAAAACTTAGATACTGTAGATCGATGTGGTTGATATTTGGGTTTTATTTTGACAATACATGTTGATATTAATTGGAATTCTTTATTATATATACTGTAGAAGTAAAATTTTAATTTTAATTAAATAACAATACCGCACGTAAGTTATATCCAACAGTATATTTTAAAATACATGGGCTTCGGAACCACTGCATATTGCTCATTGAGTCATTGCCGTATCCATGAGGGAAGTGCACAATTTTAGACTATAATTTGGTGGTAGCAGCTTGCGTAGTCATTGGTCAAAGCCTGCTGCATATACCAATTCCAATTAAGTTGATGTCACGACTTGCCTTGTTGCAACTTAAGATTCATGTGTAGGCATTAATTTAACTCTTTGGGTTGTTAAAATATGGAGAGAACAAAAATTTATGGGCTAAAAGCAAAATTAAGATCTAACACACAGGTTTTGGGATTTCGGAAAGGTAAAAGAATATTGATGTAGATTAGAAAGCAAGTTGCAAAAAAATAGTTCAATGATACTTGGTGCGCATTTTGTTTAACTTATTTAAGACACAAATAACTTTTTCTTTTCTTTTATTACTAACTTCCTCGAAGAACATTAAAAGAGGATTATTTCTCTAAGTTATGATAAATATAAACATAATAGGATTGTTTATCTTTCATGTTTGGCCTCCTATGTAAGGAGGTTTTTAGTTTGTTGTAAAGTGAATTTAATTAAGAAATTTTCAAAATGGAAAAGGTTTTGAGATGAGAGAAGTTTCAAGCTTAATATATTCTTGAGGATTAGAGAGAAATATCATATGATTCAATGTTCTTCACTTAGCTTGTTATTTGCAGTATCATAGTGAAACACGTTATACCTCTGTGTTGTTGGGGTGAACTATGTTGGTTTTATTGTGTTCTTGTAATTCTTTTATTACATCAAGTTTTGCAATTTGTCTATTTTTAATTCATGTTTTTTTTTTCACCCGCAACAACTGTATTTACTTCTCAAACATGGTAAACTAAATTATTTATTAATTTATGAAAAGTATTTATTTTTCTTTAATATGGTATTTATTTTCTATTTTCTTTAAATTATTATTTAAACAAATGAGTTAGTTAAGAGTCTTATAAGAAAATATTTTTAGAATGACCACCAGGATTAGTTAAATGTTTCTGTTGACAAAAATGGCTGTAAACACACAGCAAATTTAAATAAAAAAAGGTTAAATATCTCTTTTGGTCCCTTACAATATTTTTTTGTTTCAATTTAGTCCCACTTTAATTTTAGGTCTCAATTTGGTCCCCAATAATTTAAATCGTTCCAATTTGGGTCTTCCGTCTAAATGATTTAAACGGAGTTAACTGGTAGCCACATGGATGTCAGGTGGATGCCACGTAGATGCCACGTAGGTGGATCCAAAAATACTTGAATACACCTGGAACCAGAACGGCCCGTTCTGAAACCAGAACGACCCGTTCTGAAACCAGAACGACCCGTTCTGGTTACACTATTGGTGTGTAAAATTTGCACCTGGAACAGGCCGTTCCAGGTCCAAAATTAACACACCAACAGTGTAACTAAAACGGACCATTCTGGTCCAGAATTTCGTGCACAAAAAAACTAAAATACAAAAAGCATTTCAAACACTAGATTGGGTAATATTGTTAATGAGGATTAATAACTTCAATTGCTAAACATTTGGGCTATACAGTATATCATTAAGAATGATGCAGTGTATCACTAAGGACAATGGTAACAAGTTTTATTTCATTATTAGTCAAACTGAAGTGAACCACTTACGACCAAATTGACACTATACAATCAAGGATAAAACGAAACAGTGTTTTTCCTTGAAGTCATTGACGATGTACCCCAACAACAACCTGTTCTTGAGGAGGTACCCCTAAACCCTAAATTTTATTTTCAATTTTTGAAATACATTGCGGCATTTTAGTCAAGATTTTGAACTGGATAAATTCAAATCAAAGAAATATTTTGGAAGGTCTTATCTTATTTGATTTTTTTTAGTTTTATTCATAAATGAATATTAATTTATTGTATTTTTTATTTATTATATATTTATTAATATAGATATATAAAAAAATACAATAAAAAGCATGGCATTCTGGAACGGGCCGTTCTGAATTCAGAATGGCCCGTTCTAAAAGCAGAACGGCCCGTTCTAAAAGCAGCACGTCCCGTTTTAAAAGCAGAACAGCCCGTTCTGGTTTCAGAACGGGCCGTTCTGGTTTCAAGTTTTTTTTCCGGAATTTTGGCGTCCACGTGCGCATCCACGTGGCATCCACATAGATGCCACGTGGCCAACAGTTAACTCCGTCTAAATCATTTGGACGGAAGTCCCAAATTGCACTAATTTAAGTTATTGGGGACCAAATTGAGACCAAAAATTAAAGTGGGACTAAATTGAAACAAAAAAACATTGTAAGGGACCAAAAGAGGTATTTAACCTAAAAAAAACCATATGCAATTGTGCTTTAACAACTAGTGAATGTTTGTCCGTATATATTTATAGCCATCTTATATTTTTATTAATAAGTGCCAAATGCATTCAAAATTTTATATTAAGATTGGGTTTCCAGAAAGGTGTGGCATGCTTATCTACAGCCGTAAAATCCAAAATCACAAGCTTACGTCGGAAACTGGAAAACTGGACGTTGTAAAAACGCGGTGGCAGTTTGGTAAATATAGAGAGACTAATTTATGTCGGACAAAGGGGGTCCGACGTAAATTAGACAATCTACGTCGGAGGGTTTTTGTAGCCGACGTAGATTGGCTAATTTACGTCGGACCCCCCTTGTCCGACGTCAATTTCTCCCTAAAATGCCCAACGTTCCATTTCTCATTCCCACGCGTCCCACTGTTTACGAAAACTATTACTTCTTCTCTTATTCTCTAAGTCTCCAAGTGCCTTTAGGAGATTAGGAGTCTTGTTGAGTTAGCGGGTTACTATCAGAGGTTCATAGAGGGTTTCTCTCGAATAATAATGCCTTTGACTCAACTGACTCGGAAAGATTAGCCTTTTGTTTCGATAGACGCTTGTGAGCAGAGTTTTCAGGAATTGAAGGGGTGATTGACTACTTCTCCAATTTTGGTACACATGCCCCAAAAATCTCACCTCGGACAACCAAAACTCACACTTGGACAGCTTGGCATACAACTTCCTCTCCTTCAGCACCTCTAAAACCAACCTTAGATGCTCATGGTGATCCTCCAAAGATCTAGAATACAACAAAATATCATCAATGAAGACCACCACAAACCTGTCCAAGAATGACCTGAAAATCCTGTTCATGTAATCCATGAACACTGTCGGAGCATTAGTGACACCAAAAGGAATCACTACATACTCAGTCCTTATCGTCAACTTATTCAGTTGCCGATAATCAACACACAAACGGGCCCCACCATCCTTCTTCACTAATAGTACCGGGGCACCCCAAGGAGAAACATTGGGCCTTACCATCTATTTCTCCAACAAATTCTCGATCTGTCTCTTCAGCTCTACCAACTCAACTGAAGCCATCCTACAAGAAGCCACTGATATTGGTCCTACACCTGGTATCAGATCAATGCTAAGCTCAACATCATGCATAGGTGGCAATCCCAGCACATCATCTAGGAAACACCTTAGGAAACTCATTGACAATCTCAATCCAAGTGATGGCCCTCTTCGTCTCAACATTCAAAACGGCAAACAACATGAAGCACTCAGCTCCATCTCTCATCAACTGCTCAGCCTGACCCGCTGGCAACAACATCTCATCTTCCAACTAAGAAAATACTAACTCTCTCCGAGCACAATCTATAAGGATGTGATGGGCAGATAATCAATCCATCCTTTAGATTATGTCGATATCCACCATAGGCAACATAATCAGGTTCACCCAGAACCTCCCACCAAACACCTTTATCGGGCATCTCACACGCATCTCCGAGGTCACCACAAAATTGAAGCCGGAGTAGACACATACCAATCAACGTGCAATGTAGACACTGACAAACCCAATCTTCCCACACAATCAACAGAAAAAAAATGAATGTGTGGCACCAGAATCAAACAGGAACAAAACATCCTCACTTGCTTCCTTCCATTTCCTCTTCACCAAATCTGATGAAGTGGAAGCCTCTACACCTGATAAAGCGAAAACTCTCCCTACAGTTATAGGCCTAGGTGGCCTCAAAGCACTCCCAGATGGAGTCAATGGCATCTAACAATCTCTGGAAAGGAGGTATGGCCTGCCACATCTGAAACAAACATTCTCCGGATGGAAACAATCTCTAACCACATGTGCTCATCCACATCTATAGCATCGCACGGATGGTGCTCCACTCTAAGGAGTAGTAGGACGAGGTCCCCTAGTGACAACACCTCTCTAAGATTGAACAGGTCTGTCATAGGGTCCCCTCTGCTGGTCTCCCTTCCTGGATCCAGATGATCCCTCTTGAACTCTAGCAGCCTTGCCGCTGCTACCACCACCCTCCAATCTCTCAACAATCTTTGCCTTCTCAACCAAGGCAGGAAACTCCTCTATGGACATAAGGACTATGACCCTCTTCAGCTCATGCCTCAATCCCTCTGCAAACTTCCTACATCACTAAATTGTATTGAAAATCTTAACTTCTTTTCTTTTATAATTTCTACACTGGAGTTATGATTTATGAGTTACGAATGTGAATCTTCTACCTTGTGATATTTGAAATATTTGTCAACTATGAAAGATTTTATTTACCCAAAAAGAAGAAAAGAAATATTTTATTGTTACATTTGTTGTATATTAATAATGGGGTAGAGGGTGTCACACCACCGGTCTAGCTGCCTCAACCACAGCTCTACCCGCCTCCATCTAAGCAAAGTGAGCACTCTGCTGCTGCATCGCCATGGCCATCATCTTCATGGCCTTAGCGATCTGATCATACTGAGGCTTCACCATACTAAAAGAATTCAAACATTGTTTTACTAACACTTCACCACTACAATTCACCAAAATTAACACATATCAGAGATATGACACAACAGAAACCTA